ACACAATGAAGTTTGTGGCTACTTAGAATAACTGTCTTACAACAGTCAGCAGAGGATCCCCCTCTACCTCACTCGGGAACCAGAGGATCTGCCATCACAGGAACAGGTGGCCTCCAAAGTCAGTGTTGGAGGAGAAGAAAAGCTGGATAATCTCACTGGATGTTTTTGGAGGCCAAGTTCAGAATTGGTCTGCTTTACTCATACCCACTGGCCAGAATCCAGTCACCTGGTCTCAATTTACCTGCAAGGGAAGCTGCATAGTGTCTAGGAAGAGAAAAATAAAATGGAAACACAGGAATATGAGGAGTCATGGGTGGAGGAGGTATGCTACCTCCTCAGGAAGTGCTTGGGGGCACCCAAATAGGGGAAGGAGTTCCAGCTCTCTAAATCCCTGATCTCCTTTTATTGGCTCTATTTTGAGCTCAGGCAGTGTTTAACTAACAGGTCCATTCTTAATCTATTAATTTGGTCTCTATTTCCCATTTACTTGTTCCACAAATGTCAGATTTTTATGGAGTGTTTGCTGTGTGTCACTTGCCGAACAAGGCTCCATACAATGATAACCATGGTATCATTACTTCTCTCAAGAACCTTTCATCTACTTGAAAATATAAGACAGATATGCAGAGGGACCAAAGTAATAGCACAATGAAGATGGTGTTGAACCACCTCAAAGTCAAACAATAGGAAAAACATCATTTCACATAGAAAGCAATTGAGTGGTTAAAAGGTCGGGAAGTTCAATAGCTCCTGGGACGCTGACAAGAAGTTTCCTGCACTCACCTAATGAGGACCATCCCTAAACCAAGGAGATGACACCCTGGCTAGCCCACCAACCTCCTCTCATGTTCTTCTTTTGCCCCATATTGGTGGTAAGCACAGGCCGGTTTTTCTTCAAATGGCAATAACTAACGTCTAGAGGCAATGCCCACTTTCTGAACATGAGGGGTTTTGCTTTTAAGTCTTCTCCAAGTAAAACTTCTCTAGAAAAGATCTGAAAAAGGCTTCAGCATTTAGACATAAATGAAAAAATGTAGCTTAACTACTTCATCTGAAGGAACTATTTTAATTTTATTTGTATTTTAATAAATGTCTAATTGGTATAAATCAAAGGATCAAACCTTGATATTAGACTCAGAATTCACTGAGCTAAGTATTTTTCAGTTGGAAGGGGTGGAGAGAGTTGGATCACACTCCAACTGCTCCTGAAAATCAGGCAAAGAGATGCCTTCTTTAGCAACTCTTTAAGTTGGCGCTAATATAAAGAGACGTTCTATCTAGTACAGTTCCTAACTGTCTGTTGCCAGACCATAACTGATCTCCCTTGGCTCTGGCCATGCTGGAGCACTGTGGAGGGAGGTCACAGGGTACCCACATGTCTCATAATGGCCTCCTTTGTAAAGCTAAACAAATATATTCCTCTGGCTTGCAAAGCTACATCATGCAACTGAGTTTTTACACATATATTCATATGCATTTACACTCTGCTTCTCACAGTAATGTGCCAACATTCCCCGCTGGACGACTGGACAGAGGCAAGCAAGAAACAGTGACAGTCCTCGTACATCTGGGGAGCCTGATGTCCCCAGGCTTACACTGTGAGCTTTCACAGCCAGAGTGAGCTGTGCTGAACTGGGACTCCATCCTTCCCCAGGAGTTGAAAGATTCTGGGTGTTGTCATCATTCAAACCATAGGCAAGAATCACATTCAATTCTTGTGCATATTTTTGAAAATCAGATACTCAAAGGGCATCCTGGACCATGTATGAAATGATGACCCCAAGTAAGATTTAATAGTAAGTCGAGGTTTAAAATGCATTTGCTAGAAAAGTACTGAGGGGATGTAAAAGGAATCTGTGTTCTGAGACAGAGAACTTTCCTGTGACCCAGGTTTGCCACCCACCATCCATGAACTTGAGCAATAAGCTCAGACTACTCTCATCTTATGTGCAAGATGAGTCTGGAGTTTAAACAAAAATATAAAATTTTAATTGATAGGCAATAATTGTCCCTATTTATGGGATGCAGAGTAAAATTTCAAAACCTGCACACAGTGTAGAGTAATGGTAGGAGCATAATTGGCATATCCATCATCTAAAACATTAATGATTTCTTTGTGTCGGGGAAATTAAAAATCCTCTCTACTAGCTTTTTTGAAATATGCAATTAAATATTATCAACCATAGTTATCCTATTCTGTGCTGCAGAACATTAGAATTGTTGTTCCAATCTGAATATTTTTTTCAAGTTTTTATGCATACTCTCTGTTTTTCTTCTTTCCCCCTAAGACTGCTGTAGCAAAGTGCCACAAGCGAGACATTCTAGAGAAAGGGATTCATTCCTCACAGTTCTGGAGATAGAAGTATGAGATCCAACTCGGCAGAGTTGACTTCTTCTGAGGGAATGATCTACTCTATGCCTCTCGCGTGGCTCCTGGTGGTTTGCTGGCAATCTGTGGCATTGCTTGGTTTGTAAATGCCTTGCCCTGATCCCACATGATGTGCATGGATGTCTCTGTGTCCAGTGTCCCCTTTGTATAAGAATATAGTCGTACTGGATTAAGGTCCACCCTAACAATTTCATCTTAACTTGACCACCTATGAAGACCCTATTTCTAAACAAGGTCATACAGGCACTAGAGTTAGGACTTTGACATCTTTTTGTGGGGGACACAATTCAATCCATAACACTATGATTCCAGAACCTGTGGGCGTGGCCCTGGCAGCTCTCAAGCTGGGCTCCTCTCTGCCATCAGCCGATAATTGACCTTCCTGTTTGTCTATGGAAACACAGGGAGCACAAACTTGGAGGACAGATAAAACCCAATCCTGATGACCCTTTCCAACTGTGTGACACCAGACAAGTCACTTTACCTCTCTGAGCTTTTGTTTCCTTATCTATAATATGGGGATGATAGTTTGCTGAGAGAAGTCAGTGAGCTAAACCAGACAATTACTCAGCTGACACATGACAAGTGACCATATGTTATGACATTATTATTTATTCCTTTTGAGTCAAGGAGAGGATGGGTCAGGGATTCCTAGCCCTGGCTGCATGTCAGAATCATCTGGGGTAAGTTTGCAAAAACTCCTGGTGCCCCAGCCCCTTAGAGATTCTGACTGCATTGGTCTGGGATTGGACCCAAGCACTGGTATTTTTAGAAGCTTCTGGTTTATTTTAATTTAGAACCAGGATTGAGAATTACTAGAATGGATGGCAGGAGAGACACACTAATGGAAAGTCTCATTGTGGTTGGGAGTCAGAAGAGAGTGATTTGTAGCTGTGCATAGCCAGACAGTCCACACTATGGAAGATGCTGGATGGTACAAGTCAGAGGAGGCTCTTGGAAAACTTGTGAATTAGGTGACCTAGTTTTCAGAACAATTTTGTGCTTGATGACATTTTCTTTCAGGACTCCCTGAGGAGGAGCATCTCACAGAGGCACTGTCTGGGGCTTTCCTTCTGGCCCACAGCCAACCTCCCTCCGCTTAGTGTCCATTTGTCTGTGCTCCCCTGCCTTCAGTACCATGCCACGGGTGTGAATGAAATCTCCGGGAAGAGTCAGTGTTGGCCGGGAGCTTCCCAGAGCTTCCATTGCCTTGAACAGTGCTCATCACAGAACTCAAAGAATCCTCCAAGGAGGAAATTCAGGCCTGCATCTCCCCCAGACTCAGAACTAGGTTGGGACTGGCTGCTTTGGGTAAGCATGACTCTCAAGGCCCCTGTACTTGTGGCCTGGGGAGTTCTGTTTTGCAGAACAACGGTGAGTCCCTTGGCAGCCCCAGACCCTTCCTATGTGGAAGTGTGGAATCTGGAGGCAGCTGTTTGGGAAATGGCGGAGTGTCGGGACTCGCATTTGTGTTTTGGCTAGTTCAGGGCAGCTCTAGCTTCTCAGTCCCCCTTGCTGAGTGAGGAGGGCAGCTCTGAGCAGCCCTCCCTACAGGTCTCTTTGTCAGCAGCCCTGGCTTCTCCAAGCCTTGGTTTTCTTCCAGTGCCACCCTTGTCCACCTAGTTCCAGACACTTGCCACTCATGTTCTTTCAAGTCCTGGGGTCTCTGCACTGTTCTTGGGTGAAGGTCAGTAGCTTTTTGTTCAGTGAATTAATAAATAATAGCAAAATGAAATGATATTTAAATAGAAGCAATTCTTAATAACAAGAGCTGTGTAAATTCTCTTCATGTATTATTTCAAAGAGATTAGGAAGATCCATTTGCTCTTAGGGCAGAATTAATAAAAGAAAATTGCAACTAAAATAAAGGAAATGATAATTCTCTCAATTTTGATATGTTTGGAAAAGATCATTTGATTTGATGCTTTCTGTTTCTTTGATATTTTAATCAAGAACATGTCAGAAGGAAGAGAAGCCAGAGACAATTTTTTCTTAACACGGGGCTGGCAAAAAAGGACTTAACTTTGGCTTTTGGAAAATCAAGGGAAAAGGAAGTACAGCCCAGGATGGGGCAATACCTCTGTTAAACCCAGAGATTCTGCACCTGAATTCAGTTCAGTGTTTTACTCCCCAGTTCAGCCAACTGCCTGCCCTTTGCTACTGGTATCTGGAAGGGGAAATGACTTGCTTTCAGTGGATCAAGGTGCTATCTGTACATTTAGGGAGCAAGGGTTCTCTCAATTGACCTGAATGGATTCCTGCTGGCGTTTCGGACAGAATTGATGCAGTTAAACCAGAATTTCCTGGCAGGCACAAGGGTAGGTTTTTCCAAAAGTCATTTTAGACCACGAATGCACAGCCTTTCCATGTCCAATCATGAAAGCAAACCACTGGACACACGCTCTCTGTTTCCAGCTGGTTGTGTATGTTTCCTTCACACTTTAACAAAAACGTGCCAAGGTGTGACATTTATGAACTCCACCAACTGGGAACTGTGTGCACAAATCCTTCCTGCCTGCGGTGTGGGAAGTGATGAATGGGGGCTGTTCTGCCTGGGGAGGAGGGCTGCTGTCACTCTGGCATGCCTGCAGCCTTATTTATTACACACCGAAGTATAAAACCACCCCGCCGGCTGCAGCTCTCATCTGCAGCCCTGGCATTTGCCCGAGGAGACCAGGCGCCTGGAGCCCCCACCGTCTTCCCAAGGAGGCTCTGTGGCTCTCTTGAGAATCATGCTCCGGAGACAGCTCGTCCGTTGGCACCTGTTGGCTTTGCTTTTCCTCCCTTTTTGCCTGTGTCAAGATGAATACATGGAGGTGAGCGGAAGAGCTAATAAAGTGGTGGCGAGGATAGTGCAGAGCCACCAGCAGACTGGCCGTAGCGGCTCCAGGAGGGAGAGAGTGAGAGAGCGGAGCCATCCTAAAACTGGGACTGTGGATAATAACACTTCTACAGACCTAAAACCCCTGAGACCAGATGAGCTACCACACCCCGAGGTAGATGACCTAGCCCAGATCACCCGGTTCTGGGGCCAGGTACTCCAAATTCTCTTTTAAGGATTTATATGAAAGTTTAATGACTGCTACTGTTGTTTTGGCTAAGATTCTTAGGATCTGTGCTTGAGAGCAGTTTGCTAAGCTGCCTCTGGGTCTCTCTCTGGGTTGCTCTGGGATACAAGGGGGACTGTTAGTCTCTAGTAATCAGATGTGCTGGGAGAGTGACTGTAGCATTGCTCCATTAGAAAGGGGACCCTGGGCAGCCTGCTTCCTGCTCTGCTGGGAATTGATTTCTTTCTTGCTGTTTATGCAGAAGGTACTGATCTGTGCAGATAGACACATTGCTGTAGGTAATTACTGCTAATCCCAAGAGAGTTAGACTCAATCCTTCCCAGCAGGGAGAAGCTGCTTTTTGAGTTTGCCAAAAACAAAGTTTGTTTTTATTTTTAAGATTAATTTCTAAATTTACTGTGACATTTCAGGCCAGTCTCATTCGATTATAGCATTCTAAGTTGCTAAGCCACTTTGGCTTTTTTTTTTTTTTAAATCAGGGAGTTAAAACCAAAAAAGATTGGCTACAAAGTTACAAAGTATGTAGCATAATTTGTTGCTCCACAGGGGACTTGATTTATTTCTCAAGGCATAATTTCAGCATCTAATAAAATATCTGTTAAGTCTTTTAGGTAATGTGAGAGTGAGTTAAGGTTTCAGCATAGTGAATTGCTCATTGGTGAAGCTCAATTTAATTTAAACACTAAGAACGGGAAGAAACAGATTGTGATTTACCTCCGAAGTTTGCAGTACGTGGAAATCAGATAGAGTTGGTGGTGGCAGGAAGAGTTACTTAGAATCTATGATCTTTGAACCAATAGGTTTTACTATAAGAACTATTCGTTTTTATGCATTGAATAGGCCCTGAATTTTTTGTGTGTAGTTGAAATCTAAACCCATCCTATCACAGACTGAGAAGTTTGGGATGATTATTTGGTTATATGATTGGATAAAGATCATACTCAGAATCAGCAACAGATCTGGGACTCACCTGGCACATCTAAGTGGACACATAATACAGTTTCCCAAATTGTTCTGTGGGATGGTATCAAGGAGAAATTGCTTCTTTAATGAACCACAGAAGAAATTATTGTGTCTAAAAATGCCACTTTTAGAGATTGCCCTTTCTTCTGATAGCTTTTGTCTGAGGGGCAATTAATGCTAATTTGTGTTTTCCTTAATGGTGAAGACATTTGAACTTTTGTCTAAGACCTGATATGGACTTTCCATCCACAGGGATGGTGTCCTTCCTGGAGGTGACATTGTGAGCCCCAGGGACAGCAGAAGGCAATGATGAGTTCTCATCAGTTGTTATTTCCTGGCATCCAACACTCAGCAGGGCAATAACAAGCCACCTTCTAGTCCTGGGTTTCTAAAGTACTTTCAAGCCAACCCCCAACATCTCTAAGGGTATTGAGAGCCACTGATAATCTGGAAGTTTTCAGTACAACTCTTCTTTCAATAGATATGGATGCCCACACTGAATCTAGTATTATACTGTGTTCTTTACTACTTTCCCTACATTTTATTTTTTTTCATTATTATTATTATTATTATTATTATTATTATTATTATTATTATTTATTTTTTACATTCATGACAAGAATGGAATGCAGTATACTCATTATTACCTGTATACAGCACAATTTTTCGTAACTCTGTATATAAAGTATGTTCATGCCAAATTATGCCATTATACATGTACTCTCTCTTTTTTTACATCACAATTCTTAATACACATATATACCACAATTTTTCATATCTCTGTTTGTATATAAAGTATATTGATACCAAATTCACATCTTCATACATGTACTTTGTATAATGATGACCATCACATTCCACCATCCTTGCTATTCCCCTTCCCCCTCCCTTTCTCTCCCACCTCTCTTCCCTATCTAGAAAAAATCTTCCTCCCATGCTCTCCCTCCCTACCCCACTTTGAGCCACCCCCCTTATGTCAGAGAAGACATTCGGCATTTGTTTTTTGGGGATTGGCTAACTTTCTATCCTTTTCTCTTAATTTTTCTCTTTCTGCATCCATTCCTCCCCCAAGCATCAGACATATAAATACACTATCTCCAGCTATCCCAAAGGGCTCTAGTGGGGATACCTTTTTTTGTTAATTAATGAATTCATTAAGCTTGATCAAACCAATGTGAAAAGAAAGGTCAAAGGGCAATTGGGAGAAAAAAATGTCGGAATAGTGTTGGTCCCTGCAGTGGTTCTGAAAAGATGACACAAAGAGGATAGCCAGCCACGGCAGGGATTAAAGTTTTGTGTGTGCCAGGGGGTGTAGAGACTTGAGGATGCATCTGAGGAGCTGGGTGTGGCTGGAGCTCTGGAGTGGTAGGGGGAAGAAATCAGATGGTCTAAGAGTGATGGAGCTTAGATTTTGTTACCAAAATATTGTTTGTCTTTTCATAGCAGGGCAGTGAGGTCATTAGATTTGTGTTTTAGAAAGATAACTGGCTGCAGAGTTCACAGAGGCTTCCAGGGGGCAGAGATCTGGGCAGACTCTATCTTGGTTTCCTGGCCTTTCTTCTCCACAGCCTCTTTGTCAGGATCAGTCATCGATCTCTCATCCTCTTCCTGAACAACCATTTCTCCTTCCCATTTCCCTTCCCTTTCTTATTTTTCCCTTTTCGTTGGGTTGAAGAAGAACTTGGACTTTCTTTCTCAGAAATCCTTCTGAAGAGCTGCCTCTAGGCCCCATCCATGAAATAGGTGGAACTGTTCTTAGAGATACCCCGTTTCCTCTCTTGCTGCTTATTTGGATGTCTTCAGTGTTCAAATTTTGCCTGATTTTGGAAAGGGGGTGATAAACTTAAGAGGAAAGAGAAGGCATAGCAACTTCCTATGCATAATTCTCCTTTTCTGAGGGGAAAACGTCAGATTCAACACATCCTATTTAACTTGTTTCAAGAGCCCGCCTTACCAGCTTTGTTTCATTTGACTGAACTGTGGAAGACAGAAGGCCAGAAGGTGGCCATGTGAAGAAATGACAGAGGAAGCTTCTCAGGAGGTGTCTGGCTAACAGAAGGCTCTCAGTGAATTGCTGGTGGCTCTATGCTCTTACAGTGCCCCAGGGAGCTTGCCCACACACTAGGAATCCTACTTAGCTCTGGTAGCGAGCAACCCATCTCCAGTGCCCAGATACTAGACATTAAAAAAAAAAAAAAACAACTTTCTAAGTTATTATTTGAGCTATTTGGGAAAAACTTTAGTATTTTGTCTGTATCTTACAGTTGGAAACAAAATTCATGACCAACTCTTGCAACCCCAAATAGACAAGAAAAGTGATGTCTGGGAGCAGTGATTTCTCTAGGGTCATGCAGAACTGGGAAGAGAAATCTTGTTCCAGTCCAGTGGTTGTTCTGACATTCTTAAGCATCTCAGTATTTCCATTCTACTCTTACACAAATGGTTCCACTTCAGGATTTTCCCTTTTCCCCTCCTCTCTTCTCCATCCCTGAAATCCATCATTGGCAGAGTCCTGGATTTCCTGGGGTTTATAAGCTGTATTTTACATTAGCAAAACCATACAGAAAATGTGGACCGCTTGCTTATTTCTCAGATTGCATCTTGGTTTAGAAGGTGGGGAGGAGCTGTGATGTTTTTACTTTCTAAATCTCCAAAAATCCTTCATCTCAGGCCAATTTTCGTTCATTTTCTTCCCTCCACCATTTTGACAAAAGGTCATCATAGACTCTATGCCTTCCCAGGGTTGGCCCTGGTATGCTGAGGACGAGGCTAGGAGTTACTCCAAATCAAAGCTCCTGATCTCTAAATTCTTGGGGTCTGTGCTTTGGTAGGAGACTTCTTGGACCACAAATGCTATTCTGTATTTTTTCCTGAAAAGCTTTGTGGAAAACTTTAGAGAAAAGGGAGGACAAAGACCAAATTCATTTTTTTGTTAAAGAAAAAAAAAAAAAAGAATGTCTAAGCATGCAGCAATGTGAAGCCTCCACCCAGTTTTCTGCTTAGATTTCTATCAATGAAGCATACTTTATTTTAAATTCTTTCTTCCCCACTCTTTCTCCTCCACTTTCTCCTGTCTCTTTTTCCTTCCCACTCTCCCTCCTTTTTAAAATGAATCCCTTAACATCAATATGCTATTTTCCAAAAACCGTTGAATTATAATTGGTGTCTAGGAAAGTTACCACAAGAATTTTGTATGACATAATTAAAAGGCAAGCTGCCAATTGAGATTAGAGTCCAAATTTTAGAAGCAACTCCAACTCTTCTTCCAGTCAACCCCACTAGATTTCTAGCTCCTCACAGTAAGCATACATTTTAGAAATTTCTCTTTGTATAAATAAGCATTTCCCTCAGTGTCATACTTGAGTATATTTAGTAGCCATTTAGTGCTCATTAAATATGGATTAACATGGTGAAATCATCACTTTAAATATTGAAGTGTAACATTATGCTAAATTTTTATAAAGAAGTTAAATTTGTTTCAAGATGTAGGTAAATAATAAAAATGTATTGAATATTTAGTTAATAAGAGTGCATTATATTCTTGAAATTTACCAAGAGAGTAGATTTGAAGTGCTCTTATCACAGGAAAAGTATCTGAGATAATGCATATGTACTAGCTTGACTTACTCCATCCACAAGGAAGTATGCATATTTTAAAACAAGGTGTGGTAAATGCTACTATATGCTATTTCTATTTGTCAATTTAAATAAATGAATAAATAAATGTATTGGCCTAAAGATTGCTTAGTTTATTCATTTCTGAAGGCATTCTAAGTGTGTTCTGGCTATTTGAAAAAACATTTACAATTCAGTTTCTAAGAACTCTAACCCAACTCTCTTGCCAGTATCAGGGACACAGTATATGATAACTATGTTTGGTAGTTTTGTAATTTGAGGGTCATCTACTCAGTCTACCTACATCTGAGGCTGTTGGGCATTTGGAAAGGGAGAAAAGGCTTCTGGGTTTCCAAGTCTGCTGCTGAAGGCATTTCTGCCTTGCTGTTGTAGGGAGCAGCAGAAAGACACTGTTCATCCTACCCATGCACCATCCCAAAGTACATCTTCTGTTGGCTTCCTGTTGCTTTCCTTTGCTTAAGCTACCCCTTGAGCCTATGCCATTACATGTACACCCCACCCCATACTATCTTTTCTAATGCAGCTGTGGGTTGATTGAAGTGAAAGGATAACTCTAAGGATAGATGTCAGAGGATATTTTAAAATTCCTAATTGCTCACAAATACGTTTCCCTGAAGCTTCTCTTTTTGTCTTTTTTAAGCCTCCACAAACTGGAGGACTGCCCCCAGACTGCAGCAAGTGTTGTCATGGAGACTATGGCTTCCGTGGCTACCAAGGACCCCCTGGGCCCCCAGGCCCTCCAGGCATTCCAGGTAAGGATGAGCAAGATGTGCTGCTAGTCTAATTGTAGACTGTACAAAAAAAAAAAAAAAAAAAAAGCTAAACACTAACCTAAATACTATCTGGTCACTGGTGTATGATCCAGAGGATAATGCATGGAAAACCCAGAAGAAAGAGTTGGGTTGGGAAGCTGGGTTTATGAGGTTGGCTTAGGTAAAACAGTACAAACTCTGTACTATTTATTTCTCTACACCACTACAAAAATCCAAAAGGCTCTAGACACCCTGGGGTACCAGACTTATTAGGCTGGGAGGCTCTTTGCCAGCATTAAGTATAGAGCTACTAGCTCTTAATTGAGACCTACTTTTAATGCAGTGTGTTAGCCTTCTGTTACTGTAACAAACAGTTAAGATAATTAACGTATAGAGAGAAAAGATTTATTTTGCCTCATGATTTTAGAAATTTTAGTCCATAATTGAGTGGCCCCGTTGCTTTTGGACATATGGTAAGGCAATATATCATGGTGGGGAGAACGTGATGGAGCAAAGCTGCTCACCTCATGGTGGCCAGGGAATGATAAAGCTGACAAGGAAGAGACCAGGGTCCCACAGACCTCTTCAAGGGCATGCCCCGAGTGACATACAACCTCCCACTAGACCTCACCTCTTAAGTTTTCTCCACCTCCCAATAGTGCTTCACCTGGGAACAAGCCTTTAAGACCTGTGCCTTTCAGGAAACTTCTCTAAACCATAGAAGCTAGCATATCTGCCACAGCATGCTTTATGCGGTATACTCCACCTAACTTTCAGGAGATTTATGAACTAGAGGCATGTAGAGAAAAAGGCTCATAGGCCCAAGTTATAGTCACCTCCATCATGGCATCATTCACTGAGCTGCACATCTTTCTAATCCCAATGAGTGCTCCCTCTTCCTGCCGAGTATTAGCTATTAGTATATTTTATTCCACACTTGACTTCTGGAAGGATTTTGGGGCTCCAGAACCACATTGGTATATGGGGAAGAATCTAGAACTGTATCAGGTCCCTCTAGACCTGGGGCTCAGCCTTCTGTACTACAGTACTCTGGTTTCTCAGGCTCAAAGGCATTCTGGGAGACTGCTAGTACACTGTTGCGGGGTGAGGAGGGGGTTTCCCAGATCCCCTCTATCAAGGACTCCCAGACCTGCTGTGGGTTTTACTGTCTTCTTCCTCTCCAGTCAGTCCCTGGGGATAGAACCTCCTCTCAGAATTAGGCCAAAGTCCAAGATCCACTTGGTTTTCTCCACCTTATCCCCATTGAGGTTAATAATTTTCAAATATGGTAATGTTTAAATAATTTGGATAGCTTCTCATGTGAACCCATCTTTATAATGGAAAAACCTTATATTATACTTAAAACCATGATTACTGTTTTGCAACCTATGTCGTTGCCTATCAGGCACAGCAGGCAGCAGGGGCAGTGATGTGGAGTAGGGTATGTGTGGACCCTTTTGTAATCTTCTCAGATCTATGTTCTTCTGGCCTTGGGTAAATGTTTCCCACCAGGAAATGGCTTTGTCATTGAACACTTTAGTCCATAAACAGTCAAAGTTCATCCATCTGGAAGGATTGCAAGCCTGACACAGTGATACCTGCTTAAAGTAATCACACAAATAAATAGCAAATGGGCCTGCAATTCAGCAAACATAAAAAATTAAAGAGGAGCTGTAGAAGCCATCTCTTAGTGGCAAAGTGAGGCATTGAAATTGCTATCCAATTCTTGCTTTCAAAATTGTTATTATTATTTTTTGTTTATAAATGAGTTTACTTTCCCCTCAGTTATAAAAGTGATATAAGTTCTAGGTACAAAACTTCAGAGAGACAGAAAAATATACAGAATGTTACCAAGTCACTTGTGCTTTATTCATTCAGAAAAAAAAGTATAAATATTTTTGCATAATTTATTCTAGTCTTTTTCTTCTATGGACATAATTTGCACATACATATTGTTTGAAACAAAAATAGTATTATACCTTTTTATCCATTTATGATCTTTTTATTAAAAATGCCTTAAATATCATTATACCACTAATTTTTTCCTTTGAATTTCTTTTTTTAATGACTGTTTAATATCAGGTACTAAAATATTCCATTTTAAAATGTAGTCCTTATAGTATTGATGGATATCTTGGTGGTTTCTAATGCTTGCTATTTTAAGTGATAATGTGATGAACCATCTTCTACATAATTTTTCATTCAAGGCTTAAGAAAAACAGATTTTGGTGCCTGACAATATGTAAGGCAGTTTCAAAGCCCAGTAAAAGAGGACCCATTTGATGATACCCCTGGCTGTATTGGGGCTTATTTCAAAAGGTCCCCTTTTAAATAGAGTTTGGATGTTTTTGAAGGAAGGATCTGTTTGTCTAAAAATAAATGGTCAGTATGAGGGAGAGGGTTTCTGCATGTGATGATGTCTGGTTGTTTAAGGAAACCATGGAAACAATGGAAATAATGGAGCCACTGGCCATGAAGGTGCCAAAGGTGAGAAAGGAGACAAAGGTGACCTGGGACCTCGAGGGGAGCGAGGACAGCATGGCCCCAAAGGAGAGAAGGGCTATCCTGGGGTTCCACCAGAACTGCAGGTAAACCACCTTCTGCACATTTCCAGGGGACCAGGCCTGTCTGACCACCCAGACCCAGGGTCGTAGGGTTGGAGTGCTTCTTCAAGCCTTCACCAATCTTGAGTGAATCTAGTCTGAATTTGTTCATCTACATACAGGATGTTTGCTCAAGGCCTATCTTGTCCAAAGGATTTGGGGATCATTCCCAGGGAGGAGAGAAATCGATGAAGAGTGAAATCCAATTTCCTTGTAGAATCCAATACAAAGCAACCCTGAATATAAACTCATCTCCTGTTTTCCAGATGAGAAGATAGGTTAAATAAAAAGAGTTTTAACCTATTTGAATGTATGAACTTTTAAACATGAAAATGGAATGGCTAAATGCATACTTATAATATTATATTTATTGATTTTGCTGTATTTACATATTTAAATCACATACATGAATATTAACATATTGTTTTTTTATCAACTCAGATTTTATAGCTCAGTTTTTTGTTTTTTTTTTTTTTAACTTTTCCCATCAGTATCTTGTTTTCACTGGGGACATTTTATTTTTGAGTAATTCATTCATAGTTTTCCAGACCCTATCATGTTCATTTCATTTCCGCATAAAGTTTCTTTAATCCATTTATGAGCTTGTAATTTTCCCAAGCTCAAGTACCAATTGATATATTCTTTGTTTCCCTTTTAAATAATCATTAAAATTCTTGTCAGCAACATCTAAAATTTTTAAGTGTGAAGTTATATCATCAAGAAAAATTACTAAATTAGGGTTTTTTTGCTAATATTTTAAAATTAATTCTTCTAGGGACTTCTGTCAACTAGTTTCTGTTTGTTTGTGTTTGTTTTTGTCTGTTTGTTTGTTTTTTTGGTTAAAGTTTTTTTCTGGTTAATATGTCCTCCCAAAGTGTAATCTGTGGCTTAAGTATTTGGGAAAAAATTCTGTAACATGACAGACTTTTAAAGAACTAGAATGAAAAGCAATTCTTGTATGAAATATCAATTGAGGAACACTTTGCCTTTATTTGGGCATACGTGGAGGTGTTTGACCTTGGATAAGCTACATCCTTTATCTGGGTCTTAGTTTTTCAAGCGTAAAATAAGAGGTCCTACATGTCACTGTAACTACTTTCTGTGTTTTTCTTTTTGGGGGGGGGGTAACTTTTTAATGAATGTTGTCCAATAATTACAGCAACATGGGATTCATATGCCACTATAAATTTACTAGATAAAGAAATAAAAGGAGAGAACTGCCACCTAGCCAGGTTGAGTTGGTTACTAAGAGGCTATAAATATCTCAAAGCTAGAAACTATAACACACAGTGTATGAATGTTAGATCATAGCTAAGGGGCTTTAATCCATTAAGTCCCAAGTTTTTAATTTTGTGAATATTTAGATGAAATCAACACACAAGTACATTAAAATAGGTTGGAAGTAATAATATAGAGCTTGTATATATGTTATTATATTAGTTAACATTAATATAATTACCATATTATAATTGAATCATTACCAAATAATTATATTTAATTATATAGCTATATTATATACTGTATTTAAGTTTTAATAGGTGTTCCACATCTGGGACAATGGACAAGATGGGTTAATGGAGAAAATCTAGGAAATCATTAAATTCTCTCCATCAACTATTTCATGCTAACACCAAAGTACAGTCTTTTGGAAGAACTATTTTCATGTGTTTTACAGAAGAAGGAAGACTGGTCTTAAGCAAATTGTGTAAGAGAGGAATTTTTATTGTTTGAGGACAGAGAATCTTATCAAGTTAAAAAAATAATTATTAATCTCATGGGCCCTGACCCATTTGGACAAAGAATTAGCATTAACTTTCAAATTGCATTCTCCAACAGTCATTTCAAGCCAAAAGAATTTCTTGATGGGTGGCATTGTCCTAAGGTTCTTTTAGCTACTAATATTTTGTATTTTGAACTTTAATCTTGTCTCTTAACATGGGCAGTGGCAACGACAGTAATAGCAGTAGGTGGAAGAAGAGGAGTAATAATGCCTCATTCTTCACCTAAGTAAGACAGAAATTTAAGGCTCCTTTGACTCAGTGATGTGCCAGGTTACTTAGTTACAACTAATAAAGCTAAAATTCAACCTCATGTCTTTGGCTTCAAGTAGGTAGTTCTGTTCCTAAACTTACGGTGCCTATTGGTGGCAGGTTAACAAGTTAATTATTTTCACTGATCTTTTACACATTGAGCTGAAGCATTCAAAGTTCCATAAAATATTACACATAAATCATTTGTAACCAGTCCCAGAAATGGTTGCTGGAATTAAATGACTTCTGTGGGTCTCCTAAATCTTAATTTTTTCCTTTAACCTGAATTTTAAAATGTAAAACCATGCCCAGAAATTTTTGATTTTTTATTATTCAGTTTTCTAGCTTATTAAATTATTATTCTATATTTTGAGTAACTGAAAACTTTCTTCCTGCCATTTAAAGAATGTTTATGCAATAACTTTTCATTATTTAAAAAAAATGAGAAACAGCTATGCATAAAATACAACATGCCCAGAGATGATGACTGCTGACATATCATTTCATAACTTTTTATATCTTACTTAGGCACATTACTTTTAAATATGATAAGAACACAGGGTATTAGTTTATTTCATGAATGGAAATATTTCTTGAACATCTCTTTGTATAAATAAATGCAATTATATATCTTTAAAATGTATCTTTTTCTGAACATTAAATGAATACACGCTCATGCAAAAAATTATAGTTGTATTTAAGAAACAAAAAAATTTCCATGAAACTTCTGCACAGTGAGCCCTGCCAATAATAATTTTGTAAACATCCTTGCAGATATTTTCCTCAATTTGCTCACACAGCTACCCTACCTACAGACAGGCTTAACAAAGTCTGGTATCAAGTTGTGACCATATTGTGTTGCTTACTTTTAAATTAAATAATATATTAACTACATTGCCTCATTATATATGTACATTTATGTCAACATCAAGGAATATCAAAGAGTGTATTCAAAGAATTTATTTCATAAGAAAATGATAAATATCTTTTGGAGAAAATTAGTGTAGGCCTAGCAAATTTAAAAGTTGTCTGAATGCAGGATTTCTCAGATCTTTTAATATGCTGATTTGTATTTAATAGGTACAATCTGAGAATTTCATCGAAATTTTCCCACTGTTTAATATTTCAAAAAGTATTTTAAAGATTAATGTTCTTTGAATCATAGATTCAGAAATGTTGATGTGTATTGTTATTCTAGACCGAATAGTATAAAATGTTAGAAATCACCATCGTTTATGTATTTATTTCTCCATAGATTGATGCTTAAGATATAGCCAATCTTGCCCTTGCAAACTATTTTGTAATAAATGTAAACTAAATAAAAGCTTAATTTCTTTAAGAAAAATTGCCTAAGATTTGACCACCAACTTCTTTTTTAGATTGCATTCATGGCTTCTCTGGCCACTCACTTCAGCAATCAGAACAGTGGAATTATCTTCAGCAGTGTTGAGACCAACATTGGAAACTTCTTTGATGTCATGACCGGTAGATTTGGGGCCCCTGTATCAGGTGAGATATAAAAGTAAATGAATAATTGGATTAGTCTAGAAATTAAGAAAGAGAAGGAAAGAGAATGTATGGAGAGAGGAAAGAGGGATGAAAGGAAGGGAGGGAAAGAGGGAATGAAGAATGGAAGAGGAGAAAGAAGATGGGAAGAAGGATGGAGGGGAAAAGAGGAAGGAGGGAGGATTGAAGGAAGGAAGGAAGGATGAAGAGGTTGGGAATAAAGAGAGAAAGCCACTAAGACAGTAAAAAATTCTATTCAAGTTAAAACAAGCAGTTTGTATGGGTGTCTTTTTAATTTCAAAGTAAATGAGTTCAATCTCAAGAGACTTTTTTTTTTCTTTTTTACAAATTGTGACCATGGTTGTTAAGGTTATTTACCCTGATTTGAACTGGAACAAATAATTGCTACAAGGGTATAGTTACCTTGATTATAAAAATCCTTAGAACATAATTCTTATAGTTTAAGCATTTTATAACTGTGTCCTCCCTTTTCCACTACCCCAAGTAGTGCCTGATCCAATTTTTTTACATAAAAATTTGGGTAGGTAAGAACATATTTTAAGAGTAGAAACAATTTATGTCAACACACACAAATACATTTTCTCTCCTTTTTACATAAAAGCTAACATACTCTCTATTCTGGCTATTCTCTGCTTTTTAACAACTAGCAATACATTTTAGAAAACTATTCATATCATTACTTCATTCTTTCCTAAAGCTGAATGTGTAAACATGTGTCTAACCATTTGTGTATTGCTGAACATTTGGATTATTTCTAGTCTTTGTTATTAAAAGCAAAGCTTCAGTGAATTAACTTTGACTATACCACTTTATAAGTGAACACATATAGATATGTTTGTAGGCTAAACTACCAAGAATATAATTGCTGGTCAGAGAGGAATTACATCTTTAAGTTTGGCCAGTTTTACCAAATCACTCTCTGTAGGGTTGTATTAATATTTTCCTATTGTCAAATAGGAAGGACTTGTTTCTCCATGGTGTCATCAACAAAGTTGCCTTCAAAATGTCTGGACAATCGATGGATTAAAAAAAATTGTTTTAAAAAATCTTTTAAAAAAATTTTTGAAATACTTTAGATTTATAGAAGTTAGAAAAATGTTACAAAGTTTTCATATGTTCTTTAATTAGCTTCCCCAAGCATTAACATTTTACATAACCAACGCTCAATGACTAAAATGAAGAAACAGGCCCAGGTATAACACTATGACTAAGTTACAGACTCGATTCAGATTTCAGGAGACTCTCCTGATGCCCCAGTTTTTAATTGCTCCCCTTAGCTTCCCATTTGTACCATGAGTTTTTGCATCCTGTTTTATAGCCTTCTTTCACAGTGGCATTCATTCATGTATTTTAAACTCATGGTGAATTATTTAGCTACATTTTTCATTTATTATATAACGACAATATTTCTTCTTGGTATTATTCACCTATTGGGGTAATTCTTGATGTTCTTTACTACTTTTTAAAACTAGTTGATAATAACTGACTGAGTTGGATTTTCCTAGATCAGTAAGTAATATGCCGCTGTTTTTGGAGGAAAGGGGGGTACCCCAGCAGCCCTCTGGGCTGAGGATCTCAATGGCTCCCTCTCCTGCTGCCAGGGGACTACCTAATTCTTTTAAGTATGACTGCTCTGTGTGTTTTTCTTATGTGGCCACATTTCCCCTGCCTCCCCAGACTTCCCCAGGAGGGTTTCTGAAAACAGCCTTGTATTTGCCAGTTTCTTTCCTTTAGGAGCCTTATTTTTGCTGGCAGATTTTGAGATATTCTTTTTCTAGCAAACTTCCCTCAAGACACAATCTTGTGCTTCATCTTAGCTCTGCCCACAGGAGCTTCTTTTCAGTATCTGCACTTCAAAATAGCTCTTCTCTACCAAGGAGTGTATTTTTCCTGGTAGATTTGAGTTCTTCTGTCACCTAGAGCTCCTGCCCAGCCCCCACACTGCCAGCATGTCACTGTCTGCCCTCAATTGCATTTGGCAGCACTTACAGCTATTTTGAAGTTTATTGATTTTTTTTTCCCAGTATCCTAGTTTTGCAGAAAATGGCAAGGTTTTCGTTTTCTTGTTGTTCGTTTCTTCTTCTTTCTACAGTATCCAGAAGAAAAAGCAAGAAAATCTTGATGGATGCAATGGTCATGTTAGGTTTATCACAAAAGCTTTAAATGTGTGCCTTGTCTATTATCCTATGCAGTTTAAGTCAGAAATGAACTAATGTATGAAATGATAGAGCAATTTTTTCTTTTATTTCAGCTGTATGTGATTTTCTGCTCTGAAAGTTTATGCTATAATTTTCCTGTAATGAATTTGTTAAATACTGTCTGTACCAGATTATATGTCTGTATCAGTGCCCAGATAATGCCAACAATGGTTCAATTAAGTTCAGTGGCTTTATAATAAAGCCCAAGGATTTAGTATCGTAGAATTCTCTTTGCTTCACATGGTTTTGGCAATAACGTTCACTTTTTGGCTCCCACGTTTTATTGTTTAAACCTCACCAAAGGTATTACAAAATGATCTTTTTATCTTTCTCAACTTTGGGAGTGATCAAATAGAGAAGGCTGATTTTGCAATTACAGAAGGTGCTGGGGAGACAGTCCCTTCTGCCCACCGGAAAAACATGGTGCAAATATATTACCTCTGGTGCTAGAACCTATCCTTGCAGAAAAAGTCACATGGAGATATAAAATATATTCACTTCTGTATTTCCAATTCTAGGGATTTTCATTAGTCACCATCTGGTTTTTCAGTCTGCTCTTTCTCAAATGTTTCTGCAATCTATTTTTTTATAGTACTCATCATTTTTTAAGAAAGACTAATATATTTTCCTGTCATTTTGATTCCAACTTTATTTTCTAGAGGCATTAACAATTATCGCTGTGTGTGCATGCATGCATGCATACCTAAATGTAAAATGTTAAAAAATGAACACATATAAACGACTTGAAGTCCTTTAATTTTTTCTTATCTTTACTTTTCTTCTGTGAGCCAATCTCTAGGCATACTAATGGGCATGGCTGATCTTTATTCCATTTCCTCTGTTCACAGAACATTGGATATGCATTCCTGGCACTAAACATAGCATGACCATATTTCTCTATTGGGTTCTACTTGACTCAGAATCAGATGGATCAACATGGCACACTTACATCTTCTATCTTATTTACATTTTTGTAAAAGAAATAGAACAGTTCAGTGCTATTTTGCTTTTGCTTTTTCAGATGTTTCTGGGGTTTTCCTCTTATAAAGCCACTAGTCAAAAATATTTAATATGGGAATCAATAAAAACTTGATGACTTATATTCATTCACCTTTCCAAAGTGCACTCCCAAATCCAAGACAGTTTTGGAGTGGGAAGATTTTCCTTTTAGCCCATTGGATTTTTCTTTATTATTCAATGAACATATTTTCTATCTTGGGATTTAGAGTATATTAGGTAATACTAAATTGCTTTCCATTAGGATTTCTAGGATCTTGTAAGAAAACACATCTTTAAATACTGTCTGTAACAGATTATATCAGTGCCTAGATAATGCCAACAGTGCTTCAATTAAGTTCAGTGAATTTATAATAAAGCCCAAAGATTTAATAACTTAGAATTTGCTTTGTACATTTTACTGTTTAAACCTCATCAAAGGTATTACAAAATGATCTTTTTATCTTTTTTCAACTTTGGGAGTGATCAAATAGAGAAGGCTGATTTTGCGATTACAGAAGGGGGGGAAAAGAAGACAATCCCCCTCCACCCAAATTTGGTTACAACTAAATTATGTTGGTCTTTTTCAAATTAAGATAAGACTTTTGGTAGCAAGGTTGTGTTGGCTAAATAGATATTTAATTTATTTATAATAGGTATTTTTCTATTCATTATACACAAATTCAATGATTTACTGTGAATAACATGAGCAATTACCAGAATAATTTCTGTAGAACTATTAAACATTTATATGATGCTTCAACTATCTTTGGCTAACATTTGGCAAGTACGGTTGTCCTTTGCAATTTCATGCCTACCTTATTTTCTTAGGTCAAGGAGCAGCATGTGTTCATACTGAGGACTCTCTGTACCTTACCAATGAGTCCTGTGTAGATGCTAATAATTTCTTATGTAGATATGGCAGGGACTTCACACTAGGCCTTTTGTCAGGTAACAAAACAGTGAGGTACAATTAGAGTAAGGTAGACTCCTTTCCTTATAGATTTGTAATCTTATTAGAGATACGCAGTGTAAGATTATGCTTTGTAATCTTATTAAGTATATACAACTTTAGATAAAGTCTCAAAAACATCTAACACACTTTGAAGGTGAGCAGATAAAGGGACATTCATGCGAGTAAAGGTCAAAAGAAGCTACATACTACATATCCTTTGATATATCTCCAAACCATCATTGGGTCCCCCATATTAACATGTTAACATAACCATGGATGACTACCTGCGTCTTTCAGGTGTGTATTTCTTCACCTTCAGCATGATGAAGCATGAGGACGTTGAGGAAGTGTATGTGTACCTTATGCACAATGGCAATACCGTCTTCAGCATGTATAGGTGGGTGGCCTTTTCCATTACAGGTCTCATCCAGGCTGCCATAGTTTGCACAAAGGAAGTCCAATAGCAGATAAGCATGTAGGAACCAGCAGAGCCTAATGTGGCCCCTGTCTCAAAAAGAGCTCCTGTGCTCCAATATATGGTCAGATTACTGTTACTATTTGAGAAGAAATAAATCTGATGAATTGAGCATCAGTAGGTTGGTGAGAAATCTTGATGTCATTACTAACAACACTTCCCATAACCAATCATTTGAATTTTTCCTTAACTTTTTAGTTTTTTTCTTTCTCTTTCTTTTTCCTATAGAAAGGAGTTTTTCTTCCTCTTCTTTTCCTTCTTCTTTCTCCTCTTCCTTCTCCTCCTCTGCCTCCTCTTCCACTTCCTCCCTTTCTTCTTTTTCACCTTCTCCTTCTCTATTTTTTTTTTGGGGGGGGTGGTGGTGGTTACTATGGATTGAACTCAGGAGCACTCAACCACTGAGCCACATCCTCAGCCCTATTTTGGATTTTATTTAGAGACAGGTTCTCATTGAATTGCTCAGTGCCTCACCATTGCTGAGGCTGGCTTTGAACTTGCAATCCTCTTGCCTCAGCCTCCTGAGTCACTGGGATTACACACTCTCCTGTCCCCTTTTTCAGAGACAGTCCTATTGATGACCTTCTCCACCATCACCCACACTGGCAGGTGGAGAGAGTTGGGAGTAGGTCCCTTTATTTGGACTGTGCTGCTCTTCTGATATTTAGCCCAGCAACCTGGTCCTAGTTATGCTTGGGAGAAAATATTTCCAAAACAATATACTTTGCTCTGATGTTAGCTTAGGATGTAGGAGAGAGGCAGAGAGCCAACTTGTTTCCTATAGCTAAACAGGCTAAGAGTTATCTATGAAAAACTTCGTGGCTATTATTTATCACATGTTATTTCTGGTGACTTGTGATGATTTCTGTTTCCTTCTGGAGTCTGGCCTGAATGAAAAGATGTATTTGGAGTGCCAAAAGAGGAAAAGATGAGTTAGAGTAGGTGAACTTGCTGCAAGAATTATACTGTGGTCTAAGTCAGATTATAGTGCCTCAAACATGCTAGAATTCTGTTTTTCTTGATCAGTTCAAGACAAGGGTTCCAGGTTGGAAAGGGAGGAGGGTGGTAGAAAAGGTAGAAGAGGCAACTATGGTTGGGCAAGGTTTTTTTTACCCTTCTGTTTTTTGATGGATTCAGGCTGACAAAAGCAGTTCTTCCATCTATAAAACTGACTTTTAAATTCTCATGGTCATTGTTATTGTCAGAGTCAGAAGGAAGAACGAACAACAAGCTTGTGGAAATTCTTATGCACAGGGCATTTCTGTTCAGGGAACTTAATCACATTGTTCCTAACCCAACCAATGCAAAGGCAGCAAGGAAATATAATGCAGGTCTTATGGGGAAGGGGAGAGTGAATTTTGCTTAACATCTAGCTTCCTCTGCCCTATGGCTTCCAAATGTCTGCTGAGCCCTTCTTTCTACATGTAGAGTACACATCTCCCCATCTCTATCCCCCCTAGGGAGAGAACATCAGCCACAGTTCATGCATCAAGCTTCAAGTCCAGAATCTGGCAATGAGCAGTCCTTCTTATCAAGTCAATCCATTAGCTGCTTCTCTCTTTGGCCCCTAATTCTTTCCTCTGGGAGGTTTTCTTTGTCCATTTTTCTTTGGCTACATCTAAAAGATGAGTAGGTCTTCTAAGGGATCTTTCACCATCTATGTCCTGGTGGTACAAATCAGAGCTAAATCAAATATCCCAAGCATGTTTTAGCCCTGGCCAGATCTTTGATATTACATTTCTTCAGAAACCTAGAAGACGTTTGCTTTGTTTGCTACCAGTCCGTTACATGTGTTAGAAATCTCATCCAACACACTTTGCTTGACAGGTAGTTTTTCAGCCTATTACTCCTTTGATTACTCTTGCTTCTGCCTTGCTCTCAATTTAATGGCAGTAACCAAGAGGTCTTTTAAACTAATAGATTTGGGTAGAAAGGCAATATTCTCCATCCATCAGATTATCCCAGCACTGTCTATTTGACTCAATTAAAATTCTTAATGGGAAAACACCAACTTGATTCTGCTGTTCCAGGTGTAAAAGCACTTGACCTTGTCAATCTTGTTAGGCCTCCACTGTACATACTCTGTTTCAAACATGTCAGTTCTTGTCTGAACTCATCTTTTGTAGAAACACCTTCTAAAGGCAGCAAAGAGTGTTTTGGCTTTCTCTGATCACGCCCCTTACTTAGTGAGCAGGCATTAGATATACCTTCCATGCTGTCTTGTATTTTCCCAAATGTCTTGCCACAGCATGGTATCTATCTCTAGCTTTCCAGTTCATCATATTTGTCTCCTCCCAGCTCCCTGCCTGACCATGTATTCTTAGTTGGGTTATAGCAGCACTTCCTTTACTACCAATTTCTGATTAGTTCAAGAATGTTAGACTGCTCTAACAACAACTCAATGTAATGGCTCAAACAGAACTTTCTTTCCTTTGTTCATCCAGGATAGATATCCAGGGTGAGTGTTTCAGCCTGGGGCAAGAGCGAAAGAGCTCACTACACCTAGTAGTCTTTAAGAAGCCAGACTTCTACATATGGCTTCCTTCTAGTCATTGCCACCAATGTTTCAGATAGGCAGAAGGCAGAAGGAATAAGAAGGAGTGTTTGTGAGACTTTTATTGGCCCTTAGTAGAAGTGTCACATGCCATTTCTGCTGACATACCATAGAAAATTTATCACACAACTATACTCAAATGTATTTGAGAAAGGGAGGCTAGATTTTGGTAAAGAGTTGTCTATGCACTGCAAAGACTGAGTAGTTTGTGCCTCTTTTTCTTTTCAGCTATGAAACAAAGGGGAAATCAGATACATCCAGCAACCATGCTGTGCTGAAGCTGGCCAAAGGGGATGAGGTTTGGCTGAGAATGGGCAACGGTGCCCTTCACGGGGACCACCAGCGTTTCTCCACCTTTGCAGGCTTCCTGCTGTTTGAAACTAAGTAAACAGATGAATAGAACAGCTTTACCTTGAGAAAGATTTATAACTGAGCTGGAATTGTTATGGGTATAACAAACATTAAAGTTTAGGGTTCTACATGCTGTTTTTTTTTTTTTAAAAAAATGTATTGGTTACACAGCTACACCACAATACTGGATGACTCAGGACCCAGAAGAATACACCACAAAGTAGTCTTCTCAGATGACCCTGGTGAATATATTCAGCACTTTTATCACTCTTCCCTAGGCAATTAAGAGGGAATTGTTCATGTTGCAGGTTGTCTCCATCAGAGGAATCATTTACAAAGAGTTTTGGTGCTCTGTTTTTAGTAGTAGTTTTCAAGAATCCCTGAAATTTCCAGTTCATTATTCATTGACAATGATCATGATGTGGTTGGGGCAAGAATAGGAACACTTGAGGACCTAGGTACTAGAAACATTTGTGGGTCCAGTGGGTCAATATTAATGAATAAAGCATAGTTTTTTTTTATTATTTCCAGATAGATTTTAGATAATAAATATACAAACAGATTGTAAATATATGTTGCCCAAAAATAATTGGTTCCTTCTGTTTTATAAAGTTACATTTGTAATTAAACTCTGATTTCTAATAATTTAAACCTAGAAATGGAATTTTCTCTTGATATGAAATTGGGTTTATCAGATTTGGCCTATCAGATTGACTCTTGCTATTGCAATTTTTGGATTGCAATAGATCTTTGCTGAAAAGTCAGCAAAGACGAGCTTAGGTCAATATAGGGCAGATGTTAGTTTATGCCTTCTTCTTAATTTGGAAATTACCCAATATATTTATACTTTACACATAATATGTTAAGTTGAAAGAACTATAAATTTTGTTATATACTGTCAAACTAATACACACAAAATATAAAGTTATTTCATTTCATTTGAGTTATGCAATAAAATATCCTAACCATTTATTCAACAAAAATGATATGACTTTCTTGATTATAACATTGAATCAATGTTCACAGAACAGTCTGATGTACTAGAGATTACAGGAGGTACTACTTGGGTTTTGCCTAACTCTCTCTACTCCAAAGTCTATTCTCAAAGGATTAGATTTGTCACCAAAACAACATTTATAAGAATATGCTGTAAGTTATGAAGATGATATCCATAGATAGCACTCCAAATTTTTTTATTTTAGATGAAATATCATTGAAATATGTGTTTAGCCTAATGTTGGATCATATCTAAAGTGCCTGGTGAAATTCCATTTTGAAAAATAGTATATCATGAATTAAGCTTGATGTGGTACCACCTTAATATATTTTCTATTACAATTTGAATTTACACAAAGGCTTTTAAACTATGGGTTTCCTGTATTGATTACCCTATAGCCAGAGGCAGAGTATTGAGTGAGCCTGCCCTATTAGTGAACTCGGTGTTATCCATACTCAGTTTAGCCTTTGACCCTATCCTTTTGATGCATAAATGTGTTTAAATTCTTCCCAAATCCACATGTATTGCTCTTTTAAAGCTATATTATTATCTATAATGTGCATAATGTTTTTGTTGTTTTATAAATATGTTTTTCCCCACAGGGCTTTAGGACCATGAAGTTGAGTCTTCCTATGAGCAACTGTCATAAATATTTCATAAAGGTGCATTGCCAATAGGTATCTGAAGGTTGCATGTTGACCAAAGAGATTTCATATTTGAACAGTATATACTACCTATGAAATGCCTTACAGGAAGATTTTGACCTGGCTTGAAATATAGAAAAATATAATAGGCATATGTGAAAATAAACAAACCTTTGTTGTATGTATTGATTTTTTAATATTTTTAATGAAGTGTTATAGTCATCCAATTGTAAGTAAGGTAGTTAACACAAAGCAAAGAGATATATACGAAAATATCTTAAACTTTGATTCAATAAAACATGATGTGACTTCCTCAGTTAGTGTTCACTGAGCAGTTTTGACATACTAGGGTTTGTACGAGGTGCCACTTGGTTTTTACCTCACCTTCCCCACACCCAAATCTCTTCTCAAAGGATTAAATTTGTCATATCATGCAGACCTTGTGAAAAGCCATAGAAATCAACAATGAGGGCACAGAGCAGGGTCACCTGTCTCCAAAAAACTGCACTTGTCATTTATTTCATTGTTAGAACTTTAACTCGGCCACATATTGATGTTTAGATAAAATGTGAATATCTCTGAGGGAACTGGATCTTTATCACACCTCGTCTTTCTATATTGTGCCCAAATTCTGATTTTCGTCCTAGTAGAAACACTGGTTTGGTTATAGGTAGGTGGGAAACATTTTGGGCTTGCCAGTGCTTCCCAGATATGAAGGAAAGTGATTCCCAATGGTGATGGGAGAAGGCCAAAATGGTTATTGATGCTTTCACAATTGTACCCATGACCACAAGGGTACAGTAGTCTCTCCTTACCTATGGTTCTGCTTTCTGCAGTTTCAGTTATCTGTGATAAACAGAGGTCCAAAAATATGAAATGGACAATTCCAAAAATAAACAATTCATAAGTTTTAAATTGGCTGTCATTCTGAGTTCTGAGTAGTATGATAAAGCCTCATGCTGTCCTGCTCCCCCCGCCAATGACAAGAATCATCGATTTGTCCAGTATATCCACCCCTGCCAGCCCCTCAGCCATCTAGTCACTGCCTCAGTTCACAGATCAGTTTTCACTCTATAGCAGTGCCTGCAATCCAGTACCCCCACCCCGGGTTGTTTTTTTTTTGTTTTTTTACTTAATAATGACCACAAAGTACAAAATCAAAGATGCTGGCAATTCAGATATGCCAAAGAGAAGCCATAAAGTTCTTCCTTTAAGTGAAAAGGTAAAAGTTTTCAACTTCATAAGAAAAAAAAAAGTCATATTCTGAGATTTCTAAGAGCTACAGTGACAATGAATCTCCTAATCGTGGAATTGTGAAGAAGGAAAAAGAAATCTATGCTAGTTTTGCTGTCATACCTGAAACTACAAAAATAGTTATAGCTCCAGTATATTTAGTGTTTAGTTAAGAGGGAAAAGGCATTAAATTTGTATGAATGTACGTATAGGAAAAACATAGTATATTTAGGGTAAACCTTGCTGTGGTTTAGACTAACCTATTAAGCTAAGTGCTATTTGATCTTTTGAATATTGAAGGAATTTTATTGAATTTTTTATGAAAAAATTCTAAAGTCAAAATAAAATTAAAATAAATTCAAACCAGATAGAATGCACAAATATAAATTCCAAAAGGTGTGATTAAAATTGACAAACATCTACTTAGTGCAAGATATTGTACTATTCCTGGAGTTACTAAGGTATTTAAAGTACAATTTGTACCTCCTGAGTTTTCAACCTAACAGGAGGTAATAGATTAAAGGCAGGTAAGGACATGGATAATTTAAAAACTAAAAAACAGTCATGGAAGGCAAAGGGCCGGGCACTCTCAGAAGTAAAAATCTACATCCAGATGAGAGTGTGAAAGAAACTTGTGGAAAAGACAAGTCTTGCTGCCAGAGACAATTTCTTATTTTGTTATGTTTGGAATGAAATCTTCAAAAATATCTTCTTGTCTTCGGATAATTAAAAAAACACTTACTATAGAAAAAATATAAAATACATGTATTTCATATACAATTTAGTCATCCCATCAAACATTAAATAATATTAACACTTTGAAATACTTATTTTAATATATTTCTTCATATGTTTATTGCTTTTATTTTTAAGCTGGTAATAAAACAAACAGACATTAGATTTTTTATATTTTATACATTTTACATCTTGTTATGGTTTGACCTAGCATGTTAGGAATACTCTCAAGATCTATTGAGGAACTGGGTGTGGTGGCACATGCCTGTAATCCCAAGGGATCAGCAGGTTGGGACAGAATGATCACAAGTTTGAGGCTAGCCTCAGCAATTTAGGCTAAGCAATGTAGTGAGACCCTGTCTGAAAGACTAAAACAAAAATGGCTGGAAATGTTACTCGGTGATAACCACCCCTGGGTTAAATCCCCAGTGTCAAAACAAATAAACAAGAAGAACTATTTAGGATTTGAAAACATAATTTTAATAACTGCATAATTTATTTAACCTTTTTGTTTGGGGAGATTTTTGTTGCACTTCCAGTTTTTTTAAAAAATATCATTATAAATAAAGTATCGTGAACATTCTTTGTTTAAAAAAAAAACTACATGTCCATAAAATTATTTCCTATGGTTGAATTTTTAGAATTATTTGGTTAAAAGGTCTAGACAGTTTTAAAGCTATTAGTAATGTCAAATTTAAAAAACAACAACAACATAGACTTAAGTAAGGAGAGGCTAATCCAAAAGAATTATTGCAATAGGGAGAAATTTCTGACTTTGAGATTTGCATCCCAGAGGTCAGGGAGAAATGGACTTTTTTTTTTTTTTTAAACACGGAGGGGTAAACAAGGCTACAGAGAACCAAGGGCAGGAGAATGGAATGAGAGGTGACAGCCACGATGGGGCAGTTGACCAGGGGATGCTCTTTCCCCAAGGTTGGTCAAGTCTCCTGAGGGGTCATTAAGCAGATAATGCTTCATGTTTGTGTGCTCAAGGTGGGCAAACCTTAGGGGAATCAGGGAACGAGAAACGTTTTTTAGTTTGATCAAGTCAAGTTTGTCTTTTGACCTGATTGAAAGTTTAACAAACTGTTCCTTAAAGCCAAAGATAGTTGTCACTCTGCCTCTCATTTTAGTTTGACGACTGTTTGGTGTTACTCACACTAACACTGTGAGTAGAGAAAAAGACCGTCTCCTACTGGTGTAGGGGAGCCATATTTTAGGCAAGTTACCAATGCCTGTGTCTAAGTTTCTTCATTAGTCAAACTGGATCATCCATTAGCATGTACCTCAAAGGGTTGTTATAAGGTATAAATCAGTTACTGGGTACATTAACTATCTATAAATACTTAACAGATACATGGAATTAATAGCTTAAAATAACATACACTTATTATTGCACAATGTCTGTGGTAAGGAGTCTAAGTGTTCCTTTGCTGGATCCTTTGTTTCAGAGTATCTCAAAGGGCAGCAATAAAAATATTGGCCAGAGCTTGGTCATCTGAAAGCTCTTCCGGGAAAAAAATCTGCCCAAGCTCCTTCAGGTTGTTGGCGGAATTCAGAACTCAGTTCCTGGAGGATGGTTATGAAATAGGTAGGCTTTCAGGGGAGAGAAAAAAAGATCCTTAAGTAGAGGCAGATCTGCATCTATAAGCATGACCAGTCTTGCTCAAGCCTTTAGTTGTGCAAAACCTCCAGGGTATGTTTGTAACAGATCAACTAGAACTAACATGTAATCAAGCCAGGTGCTGTGGCATGTGCCTGTGTTCTCAGCGATTAGGGAGGCTGAGGCAGGAGGATCTCAGTTGCTAGCCTCAGCAACTTAGTTCAGGAAACAAACTGGTCAAGAAGCAGCAAGCAGCACTCAGAGAAGAACTCCAAACTTTATGTCAGTGGGCCCACAGGAAAACAAAACTCCAAATTCTGAGCCCTGATCCACGGTTTCTCACAATATTTATAGGTTTTTTGGCATTATCTTAGACCAAGTCTTATCAGTTTTTTTTTAATCTTTGTATCTTTTTGCTGATGATATGATTCTAAACCTAGAAGACCCTGAAAGTTCTACCAGAAAACTTCTAGAACTAGTAAATGAATCCAGCAAAGTAGCAGGATACAAAATCAACACTCATAAATCAAAGGCATTTCTGTATATCAGTGACAAATCAGCAGAAATGGAAACAAGGAAAACTACTCCATTTACAATAGCCTCAAAATAATAATAATAATTGGGAATCAACCTAACAAAAGAGGTGAAAGACCTCTACAATGAAAACTACAGAACACTAAAGAAAGAAGTCAAAGAAGACCTTAGAAGATGGAAAGATCTACCTTGCTCTTGGATAAGCAGAATTAATATTGTCAAAATGACCATACTTCCAAAAGCACTATACAGATTTAATGCAATTCCAATCAAAATCCCAATGACATTCCTCATAGAAATAGAAAAAGCAATCATAAAATTCATCTGGAAAAATAAGAGACGACGTGAAGGAAATCTAACCAAGCCTTTATGAAATAGCGAACTGGGAACTAAAACCAGAGATTGGGTCAGACCAGAGACAAGCCAGTTCCACCCCTCCCTTCGGACACTCCAGCAAGGAGGCAGGGGCCTGCCATTGCAGAGAGGGGAAGTCACCAAAGTTCGGCCAAAGAGATTCCTTCCCAGCGGAATCTACTTTAGCAGGTGTGTGACTCCCACCCGCATCAGATACAAACAACCGGGAAACTTCAAAATCTCTCCGTGGGCATGACTGTAAGGGCCAAAGGACTCTCGACCCCCAACTCCCAATACTGCCAGTGACGTGGGCATGACTGTAGGGGCGGAGGGAAGCAGAGAAGACTCCCCACCCCCAACTCCCCCAACCGCCAACTGAGAGGGCGTGACAGTAGGGGCGGAGGGAAACAGAGGACACTCCAGACCCCCAACTCCTCCTACTGCCAGCGGAGTGGTCGTGATTGTAGGGGCTGAGGGAAGCAGATGGGATCCTCGACCCCCAACTCCCATTACCACCAGTGGCGACACCAATGGTCTTAGCCGCCAGACTCCGAAGGTGTGCCCACCAAAGGGGTCAGGAAAAATTAAACTATTGACTCCCAGAACACAGCTCCACAGCACTGGGGCTTAGATGAATGACAGAGAGAGTGCTCAGTCATTAGGGAAATAGAGCACCCAGAGGGGCTGAAAGTGTAACCAAATCCTTGGAGAACCTCCTCCGGTGCACAGGACCTGGCTGGCTGGCAGGAGGAAGGGGAGGAGGGGCTGTAGAAGTGAAACGGCTCTGGACCAACAGGATTGAGAGACTCCCAGGAGCCGCCTTACAGGGATTGCTGTTGACACATTGAGGGCAAATC